CTGGCACCAGGGCAGGCACTGGCCCTTGCTGTGGCCACTCTGGAGCTTCTTCCCTGGCACTCAACGCTGGACACTCACTTCAGAAGCCACATGACCAGCAGGATCAGCCTGTCTAAAATGCCTCTGACAATGAGTGATGGCCACATGCTACAGATCCCTTTGTGAAACATAACCAGCCTGCTCTAAGACCATTTCTGATGTGACTGAAAATGAAAATCCTGACGACAGCACTTCAAACAGAACTGCTGCAAATCTCTGTAAGTGGTTTAATGAAACAGCCAGGAGGAGAAGAAGAGCAAATGAAAGGTAGGACAACTCCTTTGTTCAAATTCCTGTAATTGGTATCAAAATTATGTTAGTGGTTGTTTGCACCATTATACTTGAGGTACATCTTAATTTCCTCCTCAGTTCTCAGAGGTTTGCACCCACCTGAGCTCTCACTCTGCACCTCTGCCTTTCAAGCAGAGCAAGTGAAGGCACAGCAGAGGGGCAGACTGAGGGGGAAGAAGCCTGTGGGGTGCTGGCATCCTGCCCTGTGCTCAGCACCAGCAGCAAAACATCTCTGAGGGGCAGGACTGCATCCTCCACGAGCCTTCCCACTGCTCCCAGGGGGAGCAGATCCCACACACAACTCCTGAGCTCAGGGCCTCCGTGTGCACTTCAGGTTCTGTCACCAGACTGTGACACTTGGACCCCTCCTGTCTGGTTCTAATTAACAGCATGTGATAATTTGTCTCTGGTTGAGTTGGAACTTAACACTGAGGGGATCTGTGGCCCAGCCAAAGGTGGGGTTCGTTTTGATGGTGACAGAATGGGGTATGACTTACTTAAGTGTAATGATATTATGCTGCCTGGAGCTCTGGATTTTCTCAGTATATGATGAATGTGAGGCATTTAAAAAAAATTAGACACTCTATTTTACATTATTTTCTACAACGTGGATCTCTGTGGGCTGTCTGAAAATCCATTAGCATGAAATGTAAAGATGCTTAAAGACATTTACCCAGATGAGCTGTGTTTATGCAGTCAAGGGTCTTTTATGTGATTACTTTAAAAGCTAAAGAACTGCTGCAAAACATTTATAGTGCAGACATCATGAAGCAGAGTACAGATCTGACAGAAAGACAGAGCTGTAAAAAACAAGTGCACAGCTCTGGTTGCTTTGTGTTTGCAGACAAACAACCCAGAAAGCAGAAGAGTTTTCCCTTTGTAGCCCTGAGGCTGGGCTGTGCAGCTTTGAGCATGAGATTTATGGGGAAGCTTTACATTACCTTTCATCTTCACTGTGATTTTTGTCAGTTAACAGGAAGGGTGAGCAGGGATGGGCCAGCACTGGCTGTGATGGAGTGTTGTGCCCCTGGGAAGCAGTGTCTGAGCCCTGGGATCAGCTGGGGGTGGCAGAGTGGTGAGGTGCAGTTGGGATCAGATTGTCTGAGCCACTTTCCTCTCTGGGATATTCTTTAATGCCAGGAACACTTGTGCTGTATTGCTGCTGCTTCCTCTGCTCTGCCTCTGCCCTTGTCACAGCAGAAGTAACAGAAGTCCTAGAGCATGTTTGTGTGACATGCCAAAAACAGCACAAAATTGCAGAAATCCTTTGTTTTTCATTGTACAAAAATACTTACAAGTGTGGAAGAGAAAGGAGAAGTGCAAAAGCTTCCATGAGATTTCTGCCTGCTCCATCTTTTGTCAAGGACTGCTCTTTCAGCTGTACATTGAGGCCTGCATCCTCATGGTTCCTTTGTCCTTTAGCATAAAAAGTAATTTGTCAGCAAAAGAAGTAAAGTTTTGTTTTTCAGTGCAGATCTGGCTGTCCTCCCACTGAGACTTTCAACTCTTTATCTCAGGAATTGATGGTCTTGGTTTCTGATTCTCTTTCTGTGGTGTTTGTATTGATTTTTTTTTTCCAGGAGGGTTATTTTCACCGTGGTGTCAAAACTATCTTTCTGTCTTCACTTACAGCAGGTAATAGCTCAGCTTGGCCAATTACACATTTTCTGGGCTAGCCCTGCTCTTTGCACAAGCTCCCCTGACAATCTGAGCCTGGCTGACCCCATGTCTTTGCTTTCCCTTTGCTCTTGTCTCTGCAGCCTCCAGTCAGGAGTGGGGAAGGGCAGCAGCCCCAGAGCTGGCTGTGAGCAGCAGAGGTGACCAGACAACCTGGGTATTCCTCTTCCTTCCCCTGCAGATGCTGGCCCCTTGTTGTGCCACTCAAGGAGCTGGTGGGCTGTGCCATCCCATCCTGTCCCTGGTGTGGCTTTGGGTTTGTTAAGAAATCCAGTAGTGTCCGTTAAAGGCTGCTCTGTTTCTCTGTTTTCTTCACAGCAGCAATGACTTTGTCATCTGCTGTTTCTGCAACAAAATTCATGGGATCATTTTCCCAAAGCATGATACTTAAAATCTTAATTAAAATACCTCTGGCTGTTCTAGTACCAAGATTTTATAAGTGTTTGGAATAATATTTCAGATAAATGGAAAAGCTGTGTGCTTTTAACATGACAGACCCTTCTTCTAGTAAAACACATCTAACATCAAACCCTCTATAAACTTCCAAAATCCTCTTCCCTACTTGGCTCCTCAGTGACAGGCAGGTGTACACGCCTGTGGAGTTTGGTGATGAATGGAGCTGTCCCAGGGGTGTGGATTGATTTGCTTCATGACATTGATACCTTCTACTGCCCCAGCAGTGACACCCAGTGCGTGAATACTAAAAGGAAGCTGCTGTGCCTGGAGGCAGGCGAGCAAGATCCCCTATATTACACTGTGAGAGTTGTGTGTCATATTAGAGCAATCTGGCTTTAAAGGGCATCTTTCAAGCACAAACTAGCTTTTTCCCACACTTGACTGATCACACAAATAACTGTGATTAAAGGTCAAGTGCCTTTATTTTACTTTTCTATTTTACTCCTTAAAAATTTATATGCGAAAGAAAAACTAGAAGTTAACATAGCATGAAATTGTTATGCAGTTCTGAGCCTTTAATGACAACTAAATATCACTTTTTCTTCCTGGGTGGCTCGAGAATTCTTCAGTAATAACGGGTCACTTCTGTTGGTTTCCACTTGAGAAAGATTTTAAATAAACCCTGTATTTTGCTTCCCTATGCTGTGTAACATGATGGAGGGTGGGTTTTGATTGTATGAACTTGTAGCCCCAGCCAGCACGGCTGCTCCTGGTCTCACCTGGAGCTCCTGGGCTGCAGGGGCACGGCAGGAGGGGCTCCAGCGCTGGTGCAGCAGCACACAAAGCACTGATCCATGCTGAGCTCTCCTAGATGGGAAGAACATTGATAAATGGATGGGAACTTCCTCACCAGTAAAGTTAACAGAGAGAGGAAAGGTAATGACCATGTCTGCAAAGGAACTGAGAAATGGAGAGCTGGAAGCATCCTCTGTCTCCAAGTGTCCAGCTGGGCTTGGCCTGAGGTCTGAGCACCAACTCCTGTCAGCAGGGCTTTGGCACGGGCTGTGTTAGATGGAAGCTCAGTTTTTACTTGAGACCTGCAATATTTTACATTTGACACATAATCCCAGCAAAAGGAACATCCCACAGGAACAAATGTTTGCTTTGGTTTCAGGGTATCCACCATCGGGGGAAAACCAGTGGGCATTCAGTCTGACTAAACTTGGCAGGAACCTGCAACAATTAGTGTGAAAAACGAGGTTTACTTTTTTTGGTAAAATTTAAAGTTTAATAAAAGACAGTCAGAGACAAATAATAAAGCAAAAGGTAATAATGGCTGTGTGCTTGGCATTTAGCTAAGAGTATACTTGCTGTTTTGGAGATATTATTTAAATTTATTAGCTTGTTGCATATTCATAGATCCATCATACATTTTCAAACTTTTCTACAAACTATTTTCTATATTTTAAGAACCTTTTTACATGGCTCCTTCTTGAGTTTGTCTTTTTAGAGTATGTGTGTTTTTTGCTTGTGGTTTTAATTTATTTTTCTTATTAGTTTTAATTTGGTCTTTAATTTTTATAGATGGTCGGGGCTGGTAACTGCTATATAAGTAGCAGGCGTCTTTACTGTGTGTTATTTAACTAAGCGGGTAGTTCACTTATTATAAAAGTACTTTATTAGCCTATGTTACTCTTGAAGAAAACTATATCTTAAAAGCTATTTCAACACTACACATACAGTATTCACCCTGATGTTTGCAAAAAGCCAGTATCATAATATGCGTTTATAGCAATTAGTAATAATCAAACCTTGTTGAGTTCCTCCCCTGACACAAGAGGTGGCAAATACCTCGGCTTTGGTGAGTCAGGAATTGAAGAATTAAAGAATTAAAGAATTGAAGAATTTCCTCCCCCAGCCTCAGCACTGTCCCGGGTGTGTGTCTGGCAGGACTCACCCTACCTGGGGCTGCCTTTTCCTGCGGTTTCTGTCTGGGCATTTTTGCTTTCACAGCAGTTACTGGGCTTGGAGGACCTCGACATGAAGCTGGGAATAAGATTTCAACCTAGAAAAACAGGACAGAGGGGTCGACAAAACCGGCATTCCTGGGCATCGCTGCAGGCCAGGGCAGGGATGAGACCTGCCCGCGGTTGTGGGCCCTGCGCTGCAGGAACGAGGCTCTAACCCAACACTCCCGCTCGCTATCAGCAGCAAACATCATCTGGGCACGGGAGTGGCAAACCACGGCCGATTATGGCACCAGCGAGTGCCGCCCGTGCCCTGGGCAGCGCTTCCAGCACCCAAAGCCCAGCACGGCCGCGCGTCCCCTCAGGAGCCGGCCCGGGGCTCCCGCTCCGCCTCCCTCAGGCGGCTCCCGAGTCCCCGCCCACTCTCTGGCACCGCCCCTTTCTGGTCACGCCCCTGCCTCCCATTGGCTGCTCTGGCCGAGACCCCGCCCCCGAGGGGAGGGGCGCGGAGCGGGAGCGCGGCGGCGGCGCGGGGCGCGGAGTCGCGGCGCCATGGAGACGGCGCTGCCGCTGCTGCCGCTGCTGCTGCTGCCACCGCTGCTCCCGCTGCTCCCGCTGCTCCCGCTGCCGCTGCTGCCCCGCGCCGCCGCCGAGCAGGGTGAGCCGGGCGGGGCGGCGGCACCTCCCGGTGCTCCGGAGCCTCCCGGTGCTCCCGCGCCCTCTCCCGCGCCGTGTCCCCGGTGCTCCTGCACCGCCGTGTCCCCCGTGCCCGGCTACCTCGGCGCGCGGTGTCCCCGCATCGGCCCCGACTTTGGTTGCCCGCGGCGGGTCGGGCTGCGCGTTGCGGTAGCGGGAGCGGCCGGCTGGGCTCGGCTCACGGTGCGGTTGCTCCGGGGCTGGCCGGACGGGTTGTGGGGCGGATGTGCCGCCGCTCTTCGGGGCGCGGAGATCTGCCGGAGGAGCGGGAGACGACGGACGGATCCTCGCGGAGTGACCGGGTTAGCCCGAGCTGTCCCAGTCCCCGCGATCACCGGAGGCACGAGGCAGCGCGCTGCCAGTACCGTGACAGGGAGACGGTTCGAGCCCTGGGTCCGTGACCGCGGAGGTTGCGCTGCCACGGGCGGACTCCGCCGGTCTCGGAGGCGGGAAGAGCCTCTCGGAGCATCCCGGTGGTCAGGGATGTGCCCGCCGGGGATGCGCCGCCGCGACCCTTGTTCCCGGTGTCTGAGCCCGCGGCTCGACCTGCCAGTCCAGGGCTGTGGCTGTTTGCTGGCTGTGGAAGGATCGTGAAGCTGTGCACTGAGGGAAATATCTCTTCCTGTCAAACATAGAATTGGCTGTTCTGTGGGAAAAGGATGTTGTTTTCCAGGGAAATCCCTCTTTCAAAGCAGCTTCTGGCACCTTTCAGTTCCAGCATCCGCACGCTGTAGGCATGGTACAGTGGCAGTGTTGTCTGTGGTGTCGTCCCTGGGATGGCACAGTCCTTAGGGCGTTGATCAGGTACCTGCGGGGTTGTTCTGGCTGTGCAGTGAGAGCTTCCTGGTGCTGGGTGCTCACACGGTGATGCCATGGCTGGTGGAGCCGGGGTGGGAGCTGCTCCCACGCCCTGAGACCTGGCACAGCATGGCATTAAGTTTCCCAATGCATGGACTGGGTGGGTTTCACCAGCATTCCCTGTGTCCGTGGTTTTCCTAGCATACTGTCTTCCCTGCAGTTGTCCTACTGGACTCAAAGGAATCGCAGGCGGAGCTGGGCTGGACCTCACACCCATCGGACGGGGTAAGCACGGGGGTGGGACTGTGTCTGCACTACTGGAGAGGGTGAAAGGGTCTGTCAGCCTCTTGGTGCTCAGCAGCATTTGAAATCCTGCGGTATGAGCGCTTTGCTTACCACAGAGCTGGGGTGGGCGCTGGCAGCCACGGGACCTCCTCATTCAAGGTCGATGGGGAGCTTGGCACGATCAGTGCCAGGAGCCCCTGGGAGCAGTGCGAGGAGTGAGGCATTGGCTCTGTGAGTGCTGCGGCTGGCGTGGAGTCCCTCCTCGAAATGGATTTTACACTATTGAAACAAGCCAATAAACACTGGCTAGTTAAGGCTTTGTGTTGTGGTTCGCACAGCAGCATGAGCACCAAGGGTCAGTCTAGCCCTTAGGATCCGAGGGCTGTGGCTGAGGAAGTTACTGGGAGCTGTGTCATGTAATGTTTGTTTCATCAGCCCCGGCTTTGCTGCTGGTGTCGGTCTAAAGCCACTTTCCGTAAGCTTGGAGTTGTGCTCCTTGCAGCTTTGGGTTCATTTTCCCGAATGGAAACAAAGTGTTTAGAGGGAAGAGGATAGTCCTGGAGTCATCTGTGTGGCACAGCTGTTTGTTTGCAGAAGAAACTCTGTTCTGGGTATGTTTTGAATGCTTTGCATAAATTTACCCCCAGAAAGAATTGCTTTGAGAAATTGCCAGGTTGTCATTCAGTCTGTGAGGGTTGAATCATCATTTCATTGATGAGAATCTCTGCTGATAGCTTTGGGGAAACACTGTTTCACTTGCAGTTGGAGGATTTCTCCTGTTGCAGCTAAAACTTCTCTTGGCAGAGAAGCTGCTGCTGTTCGTGAAGGTGTTTGACGTCCTTGTGTGATGATGTGACTGGTGTCACACCTCCTTAGGCATCTTGGATTTCTCTGAGTGGCCTAACCCCATTGAGCATTACACTGTGTGGTAACACCGTGTGGATGGATGCACCTTCCCAGGGATAGAAAATCCGAGGAGTGTGTGGGAGATGAAGGCTCTGGCTCCTCAGCAGATGATGTGTCCAGAATCAGGCTTTGTTTTCCAATATCTGCTGCCAGTGCTGCCTTTCTGGCTGTGTCTTCACAATTGCACCTCTGCAGAGAGCTCAGGTGTTAGGTGGTCCAGGAGCAGGGTTGCTGCAGCTGGTGGGTTTGGTGGGCCTGTGGTGGGGAGGCTTGTGGTAGTGACATTCATACAGGTTGGTGTGTCACTGCTGGGGCAGCTCCTGAGCTGTTACAGCCCTTTGTGTTCTGTCCCCAGTGGGAAGAGATCAGTGGCGTGGATGAATCCTACAAGCCCATACGCACGTACCAGGTCTGCAATGTCATGGAGCCCAACCAGAACAACTGGCTGCAGACAGGCTGGATCGCCAGGCGTGACGGCCAGAGGATCTTCATTGAGCTGAAGTTCACCCTGCGGGACTGCAACAGCATCCCTGGCGTGACAAGCACTTGCAAGGAGACTTTCAACTTGTACTATGTGGAGTCTGACTCGGACCTGGGCCGGAGTGTCCGTGAGAACAAGCACACCAAGATCGACACCATTGCTGCTGACGAGAGCTTCACACAGGGAGACCTGGGCGAGCGCAAGATGAAGCTGAACACTGAGCTGAGGGAGATTGGGCACCTGAGCAAGAGGGGCTTCCACCTGGGCTTCCAGGACGTGGGCGCCTGTGTGGCGCTGGTCTCCGTGCGGGTCTATTACAAGAAGTGTCTCAGCACCGTGCAGAACTTGGCCATGTTCCCAGACACAGTGGCAGAGACGGCCTTTGTGACATTGGTGGAAGTTAAGGGCACTTGTGTCGCCCATGCTGAGGTGGATGTGGATAATCCCCCTCGGATGCACTGCAGTGCAGAGGGCGAGTGGCTGGTGCCCGTAGGGAAATGCATGTGCAGCCCTGGCTTTGAGGAGAAGGACGGGGGATGCCGAGGTAAAAGTGCCCGTTGGTGTCCTGGCAGTTCGTGTCTGTGTCAGTCCAGCTGCTGCCAGACCTCTCCGGTGCCTGAGCACAGTTTGGACAAGTGGAATTGTCTTTTGTCAGCAATATGTTTCTTTGGGTGATGGCAGCTCCCCGGTTTGTTTGGAGGGTGGCAGTTAGAGGGTGTGGGGCTGCTCTGCAGCATGGTGCTGGTTGGGCAGATGTGTCAGCTCTGGATGCTGTCAGGCATTTCCCACAGCTTTATCTGTAATGTTAAAATTACTCTAGAACATTAATATCCCTATTGATATGCTTTGGACACGGTTTAATAATTTGGTGAGTTTACAGCTCACAAGGTTATGTTTAAGGACAGCTGCAAAAATGGACGTACTCTCTGCTTTAACAAGGCATCCCTCTAACAAACATGGGGCTGTGACCACTTCCAAAGGCAGGTGGGAGCCAGGTGTGGCATGCTGGCTGTCATGCTCTTCCTCAGAGTGTGTGAGCCTCTGAATGGAGAGGGTTGTTGGGCTAATGCCACCCCTGGGCACCTTCTTGCCAGCTGGGACCTGGCAAAGGGGATGTGTTCTTCAGTAAAACACATCCTAAAAGACTCTTAGCTCCCCATGCCCGGTGTCCAGATGATACCTTGGATGTCTCCCTTTTCACCTCAAAAACGGAGAGGAAAACAACTAAATAAGTCCCAGGCAGGCAGATTCCCCTGCACTGGAGGCAGGTGATGCAGTAGGAGTGTGAGCTTTTCCTGTGGAATCGGATCTGCCCTTCAGGGGCACCTCCAGGCTTTTCACTGTGCTGATGGTGCTGCCTTCCACCAGGTGGTGGGATGCCCTTCCCAGTGCTCTGGGCAGTGCCTTCTCCTGAAGAAGACCTTATTAAAGCTATCAAATTGAAATCTCAGTGCTGTTGATTGCTTCAGTGGCTGCATGGCAAGCTGCCATGCTTTCCACATCTGTTTGGAGTGGGGATTTTAACATAACAGTCCCTAAAGGCTTTTGCTAATGTTTCAGGTTTCTCTGTTGAGTTTAAATAATTCATATTCTCTGAGGAAAAATATTTGGAGTAATTTAATGGACATAATTAAGTTTCTCTCCCCTCTCACAGAAAGCAGGTCATTAGTCATTCTCTGTGGAGCAGCGTCTGATGTCTGGTCAAATATCAGAAAATACTTTTTAAGGGTTGAAAGTTTCAGGTTTGTTTGCAGCCCTGCATTAGCATAGTACTAAATGAATAGCTTTAAAAGAATTCTGATGAAAGCAGCCAGGGCTGTGGAAATTCTTCAATGAGAAGCCCTTGAGCTGGAGGCAGGTGGACGCTTTGGGAGTTTTGGGGTGTTAAAGCAGTCAGGTGATGGCACAACACACCTGGCTCCACCACCATGGTCCTGTGGTGGTGGCTTTGGAGGCTCAGAGGGTGTGACTCCTGCTGGCCCATGAAACTTCTTGGCCACAGTCTCTGTTGCAGCTCTTGTGGACCTGAGAGGTGTGGGTGGTGCACTGGGGGTGGTGGGGGCTTTGCTGGTGCCTGTGGGGTGGCCTGGGGGCCAGGGTGGTGCTTGGGGGTGGTGGTGGCAGCAGGACTGTGCTGCTGGTGACAGTGGAGGATGCAGGGATGAGCTGGTGAAGGTGTTTAAACTTGGCGGCAGAGCTGGTGTCCCTGTATCCCTGATTTAACTACTGAAAGCATCCCGTACCGAGAGAAGGTTTGTGTCCTCACACACAAAAAAAGCAGGACTTATGACTCTGCTAATTCTGGCTGCAGGAAAGATGAGTCTTTCCATGCCCATCCTCCTGTCCTGCACCACTGCTTCAGAGGCACTCCAGCACTCCTGACAAGTTTGCACGTTTCTGATGAGTTGTTTTGGTGTTCGGTGGAGTGCAGCCATCTCTGGGTGGGGGGGGATTGCACAACTTTAGAGCCTGTTTAACATCCACTCACAAAGAAGAGGAGAGTTTGTCACTGAAAATGCACTCAGGCTGCTTGTCTTGATGTATCTCTGTAGCCAGATGCTGCTCTGTGCTTGCTCTGACCATAAAACCCATTCCCAGAAAATGCACAGCAGGCAAGTGGGCAGTCCTGTGCTCTGTGCATGATCCCGTTCCCATCCCTGTTTTGTTTTCACGTGGCTTCTCAGCTTTGATGTCTTTTTGCCATGAATGTTGACAGGTGTGAGCTGTAGCCCCTTTGTGCAGTTTGTTTTGTGGTGTGTAGCAATAGCTTTTGTGTAAATGAAGCCATGATGTGGGGGGGGTCTGCCTGACATTTTCATTCAAAGTTGTCTCCTTCTGCTTCATCTCCTCTATCCAATCCCTAGTAATGTCTGCAAGGAGAATTTCAACAAAGCTCAAGGTTAATATTTACCAGCCAGATTTGCTGCAAATGAGACAACTTAAACCAGGCATTGAATTAATATGATGGAGACCAGTTACCAAAAATAGCTGCAAGCCACTCTTCTTTGACAGAAACGTAAATTTGTGCTCTGGCAAAGTTTCCTCCTCAATTCATTTTCCTCCACTTCTGACAGCACTGGCAGGAGCCAGCTCTGCACTGCTGCTGTGTCCCATGCTCTGCTGCCCCTCAGCAGCACCTGGAGCCCTGCTCTGTCTGCTCAATGATGCTCTAATTAGTGGCAGTGTCCCTTGTCTACATGGAAATGACATCACTGAAAACAGTTTCAGAGTTGAAATCGTTTCTAGTGCTTTGTCAGGATTTTTAAATGACCTTTTAAAGAGATGAGTGTCGCTGCTTTTCTGGGGAGGGAAAACCTTGCACAGGAGGTGGCTTCAGTGACAGCCTTGTCCATGGGTGCTGTTTGGAATGGGGAATAACAGAAATTCCCCCTCCTTGTCTGCATCTCTGGATGGATTTTTGAGCAGCATGTTGAATTCAACCTGCTGTGGACAAGACACAAGGAAGATTTATTGTATCTGTCTTAGGGAGAAAGCAAAGGTTTAGGGTGGGAGTGGGATGTAGAGTGAGTAAGATGCTCTTCTGTCCATTGGATATGTCCCACCACAGCATTGTGTCACTGCAGTGTCCTTAGGTGGAAAAGAAATAGTTCAATTGAAAGTTAGAGAAATTTAAAATGGTAGATTACAATATTTTGTCATTTACTGCAAAAATACCTCCTGAAGCTCGAGGTCTGCTTTTCTGTTTAAATACAAAAAAGATGGATCCAAATGTACAGCATTTGGAGTTCTTGATTTGTTTCATCTTTTATACATTAGCTTACAAACCTGTAAGTGCTCCTGGAGTGTATTTTATCTGCTGACTGATGCTGGAGGATTATGCATATGTTTATTTTTCCTCCTGGGGTTCTGTAAGTTGCACAAAGCACCAGGTTTTGCTTTCATCATGGATGCAGCCACAGGCATCCCACAGTCAGGCCCCGTGCTTGCTGTGTGGAATTGGAGGAAATTCCACAGGAATTCTGGATCTGGGCACATTGGCTGGGGGGTTGTGAGGTGGCATTAGCCTGGTGCTGGATGCTGCTGCCCATCAGCCATGCACATGGAACACCCATGTAAAACAAAAAAAAAAAACCAAAAAACCCCAAGCTTTCTTTCCAGTCTGTCTGGAATAACGACCAGGCTTGGAGGTATTCATCATTTGGGATTGCACATTACACTGCTGGTTCACAGTGTGTCCAAAATAATTAGGGCTATGGAAGTTGTGACAGATTCAGACACAAATCGCTCCATGACATTTAATTTCAGAGCAAACCAGTCTGACAATTACATGCATCACAAGTTGTTTGCAGAATTCCTGTGAGGTTAAGGTCATGGATATCTGGCTGCTGGATGAACGTGTTGGATGGGCTGTTGAAATACAGAGAGGACGTGTCTTGCCCACAGCTGAGGGGGTTTGTGTGAGCTAAAATGCTCTTCAGGGCACTGCAGAGGCTGGTCAGGCAGTCCTTCACCGAGAACTGTTTGGTGGATCCATTAGGGAGCTGAGAGAGACAACAGTGAATTTAAGTTGGCTCAGCGGATGTGCCTGCCTCAGTGTGTCCTTGAGGAACATTCTGGCATAAATAGCAATGAGGTTCTGTCAGTCCTGGCTGGATTCATGGGATGCACTCTGTTAGATATTTCAATACTGTCTTTCTTCTGGACTAAATCACTAAATTTAATTTTGGCTGTTAAGAGTTCATTGTTGGAGATGCACAAAAATCTTGCCCTGGGACACAGGTTTTTGTTTGGTACTCCACAAATTATTTAACAAGGACAAAAATAACAGAATAGCATTGTCTAGAGGTGTCAGAATTGCTGGCAGTGTGTTGGACCATAGGCTGCTTGTTGAAAACCAGTTATTAAAAACCTCCAAACTGTGTGGAAGGCACGGTGCTTTTGGATTCTCTCGAGTGGTGCAACCCAGAGTTCCCATCCTGGCAGACATGGAAGCGAGGTGAGAGGAGCCTGACCCAGTGCTGACTTTGTCCCTCTCACACTGAGATTGGACATGGTTACTGTCCCTTCTCTGAGCCTGCAGTATTGATCACAGCTGCTGTGGTAAGACAAGGTCAGATCTCCAACTCAGCTTGGAGAGGGCAGGAGCCTCTCTGCTACCCAAGGACGTTTGTCAAAAAGGTTCTTTGGCCACCTCAGCACACCACAAACTCTATTCTGTCAGTGATTTACACAAGGTGCCCTGTCTGGTTTGGGTAGCACGTCCATGGGCACTGCCTGGCAGGGTCTGTCCCTCCTTGGGGCTGCTGCCCCCTCCTCCCCACTGTGCTGGCCCAGGGCACTTTGCCTCTGAAGCACTGATGAAATATTTGGAGCACAATAAACAGCGACTTGCTTGGCTTGATAATGGGATTAAGATGGAGTACGGCTGTGCCAGCCTGCTCCAGTGAGGGGTCAGCAGGAGCAAGAGCTCCTGTGAAAGATGCTTTGTGAGCAACTAAGATGCCAGTGGTGAGACTGCAGGTCTGAGTGTTGCCCAGGAAGGGCTGGATGCAAGCCTAAGACTGGAGGGGCCCAGTGCTCCCAGTCTGCCCTTTGCTGGTTGGGATTGTCAGGGGTGCCTTAACCTGGGGTGCTCTCCTGGTTTTTGCTGTGGCACCCCGAGTTCTGGCTGCCTGTTTCCCCAGCTGTGGCTTTCCTAAAGAGTATTTTTATGAATGTCTGCTTCAGTAGAGAAAATTAACACACATTAAAGCAGATGAACTTTGTCAAATACAATTCCATGACCAAAACTGGAAAGGAATTGATTTTGGAAGACAACCGAGTTGCAGTGTTAATTATAAATGCCTGTATAGGCATTTTGAGTGAGGCTGCAGCTGTTATTAATTCACACTGGCACACATGGTGCTGCTGCTGGTAGGACTTCACTGGGAAGGGAAATTAAAAGCTGTCCTGTGCCACTGGATAGGAAACCATGCATTTTCTAGGTCTGCATCCTCAAGTGCCCCTGCTTTCCCTATGGCACAAGCTGGGAATGGGATGATGTTGCTGTCTCTCAGCAGAGACTCCGGCTCCTGTGTGAGGAGCTGTGCCAGGTGAGGAGGTAAGAGAAGCCTTTCCCATGGTTATTTCATGCTGGGTAACCCACCAGCCTGCCACACAAATCAGTGTAGCTCATTCTGCTGCTGGTTTGGCAGTGTGCAGTGGCACACTGAGGGGGGAATGTGCTCTCTCTGTCAGTGACAGGGGTCAGGTTGGCTTGAGGAGCTTCTGTGGTCAGCAGTGGTGGAGTGGAGAGAGGCAGCTGATCAATCTGACCCATCTGGCTGCTTCTCTTTGGCTCTGGGACAATGAATTATTGAATTTTATCGTTTAATAATTGAGTTGTGGTAGCACCAAAGGACCAGGAACAGGATAGAAAGCAGTGTACAAAAAAGAGAGTTTCATTCTATAAATTGATGACCTGATCTCCCGAGAGCTGTCACATACCCACTGCAGAAATAAGCACTGTGAGATGACAGGGACACCTAAACCAGCTGGAGACCAAGAAAAACACTCGTGGGACGAGGTGGAAAAGGGTGGGAGTTTGTCTGAAAAAAGAAACAGAGACACACACATACGATGCATCACATGTGCTGGGCACTTTTGTTCTTCTCAAGAGCAAATTTTGGACAGCCAAGGAAAAACATTACTAAGTAAAGCCTATGGCTCCTCGTGGGACACACTCACATGGGGTTGTGGTGCCTGCTCCTGGGACATTCAAACTGGGGCATTTGGTGCCATTATTAATGACAGACACTTCTGTAAAGTTACTTCTGGCTGTTAGAAAACAGAGTGGGCTAAAAGACACTTCTAATTGGAAATGTTCAGTTTCCTGTGATGAGATGTCAAATTTGTGTGACAGGCACATCTGAGGGATGGGAGCTCTGGGCTTAGTGCTTGGATCCCATCATGTTTGTAAATAGGATTGATTTTCCTGTCCTGTCTGATGCAGTGATATTTCTGCCCTGTATGGTGGTCAGTGCTGCCTAACTAAAGGAAAAAGCAAATTCTGTCTCCATTCTATGAATATACTACTAGTTTTGATTTGCTTTCTCAACTCTAAAAAGGGAATTGGAAGTTTTGGGTGTAATTTTAACATTTGCTATTTTTTCCTGGTTTATCTAGCACCCTAGATAGGGAATGATTTACTATGAAATTGAATGCAGAGCTACAGCACTCAAATGTCTCTTCTGGGTAAAACCAAGGGACATGTCTCTTGGTTCCAGGATCATGCAGGTGCTCAGGGGAAGCAGCTTAGAGGGTGGTGGCAGCCAAGGAGGTCCAAAGGAAATGGGGAAATGCAGTCATCAAACATGTCCCCATTCATGCTGTGCTGCTCTCCCTTTAACACCCTCTCTCTCTTTCAGCTTGCCTTCCGGGGTTTTACAAGCTCTCCCTCCGTCTCCCTCTGTGTTCTCCATGCCCTGAGCACAGCTTCACACACGAGGAAGCCTCCACGTTCTGTTTGTGCCAGACGAATTACTCCAGGTCTCCTTCAGACCCCCCGTCCGCCTCCTGCACACGTACGTCGTGGTCTGTCCTGCAGCACAGAGCCAGGCAGTGCCCAGGGCTGTCCCGGGCTCCCCCTGCCCTCTGTGTGCCCCCCTCGGGGTCCTGTCCGTGCTGGGGGGACGCTGCAGTGGGGAGGGGGTGGAGGTAGGGGATGCAAGCCCAGTCTGTGGGCTGGTGAGACAGATGTGCTTGCAGACTCCCTGGTAAAACTGGGGCACGGTCATTTAGTCACTATAGTTCACAAGTTTTAATTAAATGCCCTCTGTTTAATTGGTCTGGACTCCAGCTGCTGTGGTGATGGATGCTCTCCAGCTGCCAGCACAGTGATGAGGAGCCCTCGGGTTCACAGCCGGGCAGTCCCTGAGCAGGAGCAGGCTCAGGAAAGTGCTGGCTCCATCCAGGTGCTTCTCATGCACACTGGGAGCTGTGGCTGGCGGTGCACACACGTCCCTCCAGCTGGGATCCTCTGTCCCACCCTGCTAAACGCACCAATGGCTCCGTGTCCCCTCCTGCCACCCCTGGCTGTGCCCGTCCAGGACCCTGCTCTTGTGCTCTACCCCCGCTGCTGCTCCCACAGCACCTTTAGGTGTAGGAAACGCTGCCTTGGGACGGTCGGGACAAACTCAGGCGCTCTCTTTATTGTGGTCTTAAAGTTTGCAGTTTATTTTGTGGGGTGTGGGTTTATATAAGGCCCTGCTGGGAACTGCAGCCACAGCTCAGAGCAGGACGGAAAGAGGGATAGAGTGAGAGTAAGAGAAGAAAGCTTAAAAGAGCTTAAGAAAGTAAGAACGAAGAGAGTAAGAGCATAAGAGAGCGATTTTCCCGTTTACAATACATTAAATCTTCTTCTATGTTGAATATTCTAATTTTCACTAACCAATCTAATACAAGATACAAATTCTCTAACATTTGCATGCAACCTATAGGAATCACTATATTACCATGTTTTTGTGCTTTTTTTATCTCTAAATTTTGTCTGTGACCTTTCCTGCCCTGCCTAGGGAGGATGTCTGTTTGCTTTTTGGTCTTGGCAGCATCAAACATTATCTAAACCAAGGGGCCTTCAGGCATTCAGTTGTTTTCAGCCACGCAGTCGAAAATCGCTACCATTTCTATTCCGCTTATATTTTCCACATTCTCAAAGTCTTTTGCACGGCACTCGTATTTATAAGGTTTCCCTAATTCATCCTTCCCAACATCTAGGTTTGTCCCAACACGTGTGACACTGTTTTCCTTGCAGGCCCACCCTCTGCCCCGAGGAACCTGGTGTACAGCCTGCACCAGTCGTCCCTGGTGCTGGAGTGGAGTGCCCCCGCCGACGCCGGTGGCCGCAGTGACCTGACCTACAGCCTGTGGTGTGGCCGGTGTCCCGCCGTGCCCCAGGGCCACTGCGAGCAGTGTGGCAGCAGGGTGGGCTTCGTGCCGCAGCAGACGGGGCTGGTGGAGCGCACGGTGACGCTGCTGAACCTGCTGCCCCACGCCAACTACACCATCCGTGTGCTGGCCCTCAACGGCGTCTCGGCCGTGAGCCCGCTGGCCGGCCAGCAGTACGCCGAGGTCAACGTGTCCACTGGCCACGCAGGTACGGCCACCTGCCGTGGGCAGGGCTCGGTGCTTTCCCCCCTCCCCTCCAGGGGGCTGGCTGGCTCTGGGGGTGTTGTAGGGGTCTGCTCTGCAGCCGGGGTTGGGGTGGTTTTGCTGCTGGGAGGACACGGAGGATGTGGATGGTGTGGTCGCCATCCTCGAGGTGTCTGTGCTCTGTTCCTTCTGGGTTTGTACTGGTGGCACAGTGTCGCTGTTAGTTAGGGAATTAACCATTGGAATGGTGGTAATAAAGCACGCAGCAACATGGTCAGCCTTCAGGATAGGAAGGAGATGAAGTTTGTTCCAACACACCTTGCTTAAGTACAGTCACAGAATACAGCTGATTGGCTAGAGCAGGAAACACTCATGCAGATGTTTTCATTATAAACAGCACATTTCTCAAAATACACACTCTGTAACCAGTAGCAGGTGCCTTTGTTTGTTCCTGGGAAAACCTCTGCTCCCAGGCCAGCTCCTGGGAAAGCTCCGTGTTCACACAAATCTTTCCCATGGGCTTTCACAGCACAGACGTGGTGCTAAGGTGTGGCAGAGGGGCAGGTGAAGACTGGCCCATGGCAACTCCCAGTTGGTGCCACTGGGAGGCAAGGAGTGAGTGTGGTGACAGCCTGGACTGTGAAGGGACAAGTCTGCCCTGTGATCTGGCTGCAGTTTGAATTTACAAATCATAAAAAAAACCAACAAACCTTTGATGAAGTTACATTTTCAGCCCATTCATCAAAAAGCCCTCCTTAAAACAGATAATTCAAATGTTGGCTACCCTTCAGAAACAAAAAAAATTGATTTCCTCTCTCTATCTTGCACTGGTCTGTGAAACAATTCTTATTGTAATTGTCCCCGTCCATTTCCAGTCTGGCATTTCTGTTCCCTCAGGCTAGGGGAAGTGAGTGCCCATGCCTGGGGACAGTCCCTGACCAGAGGGGTTGGCTGTTGTCTGTGCCAAAGGACAGTCAGGTCCCTCCTCTGCTGCTGGCTATGCTGAAGGACAGTCGGCTCTGCCTTGTTGTGTCCTTGTCTGTTCCTCTGCGGTTACATTATTAATTTGCATGAAAACCCTTTCCCAAGCCACAGTTAATGGAGACAGATAATCCTCAGGTACCTCTTGGCAGGAATTGCCCAACAATTTCATCTGAAGAGATTAAACTTTGATCTTGTTATAAATAATTTTCCCACCGCTTGATCAAACGTCTTTGTGCACGTTGTTGCTTTCTCTTCCCTCGTACCATAATCCCCGTGGCTCCATTGGGGGATGCTGTGCTGCAGACTGCTCCTCAGCTGAGGTGTCATTCCTCATTAGGATCTTTGCTGTTCAGGGATGGATTTAGCTCTGGGAAGATCTTCTGTCTCCTGAGCTCAGGCCAGGGGGACAGAGAACAGTCCGGGGTGTGGTGAGCTCAGAGAGCTCTGATAACAAACCATTCCTCCAGTCTGGTGCTCTGCAGCTCCCACCTTGCCTGGGCCCCCAGGTCTGAGCTGGACACCAGAGACCAGGTGTGGGCAGTAAGTGCCCCGTTCTCTTAGGGAGCAAAGCAGAAAGTTGGTGATGCCAGCCCATGCCTTGGCTGCTAAGAACAGCTTTTCCCCTGGGGAAGGGGAAAATCTCAGCCCCTTGCTCGATACCATGTACTCCTGAGGGAACTGAAATGCACATAAAGCATGTGGATAATTAATCCTGTGATCTGTTCAGAATCAATGTCTCTTGTTGAGCTGTCAAGTCTCCAGATGCAGATGATGGCTCGGAATGACCCAAGCAGTGAAGCTGGGGAGTTTTTTGGAACACTGGCAGTTTTTATTGCTGAGGCTGTGCCCTCCTGAGCAGTGCCAGGCCAGGGCTGCCCTGCCAGCAGGCACCAGTGCCCTGCTTCCTCTTGCCTGATGTTGGCAAGGGGTGACAGTGATGGTTAACCCATGCCTATCAGCACAGAAGGGGAGAAGGTGGGGAGCAGGTTGTCTCCCGAGGGAGTGGCTGCACAGCTGAGTTTGTCTGTGAGACCCCTCTGTGAGGAGGAGACCCTGCGTGGGCAGGACACAGAGCCACAGCTGGCAGGGACAGCTGCTCCTCAGAGCACATCATCCCTTGGGCTCCTGACTCTACAGCCCCGTGTCACTAGAGCCTCCCACAGAAGTGCTGGCTGGGGCCAGAGGTCAGGAGGAAGGAGACTCCAGAAATCCCTGGGCAGTTGTGATTTCTGTGGTGGCTGTCATGCTGTGGTCTCACAAGTCGTTTGCAGCAGGGGAGCTCTGTCTGCTGATAAGCAGGTTCAGAGGAAAAATTAAACAAGAAACAAGACCCTATTTAGCTGTCAGATCCTGCTCCTCTCATCCAGCTCCAAGTGCAGCTCTGTGCTGCCCTTCCCCTCCAGCAGTCACCAGAGGGAATTTTCCATCGTTCCTTGTAATTGCAGCAAAAAGAAGAGATGCAATTTAGTCTGCAGGTGGCAAAATTAATACTGTGTTTTTTCTAATCTGTCCCCAGCATGGGACTAAATAAAAGTGTTTGAGGAGTGACTGGAACTGTTCACCTGCAGGAGTGGAGCTGCATTAGCCATGTAAATGTGCACTCCAGGCCCATGTCATTTGTATTCCCGACAGGAATACAAGGCTCCTGCCTTAAAGAGCTTTTAAATCTGTTGCTGATTAATAATGCAACCAGTGCCAGAATGCATCCTCCTTCCTGAGGCTGGAGAAGGGATTTGGGCTGGATTTGGTCCTCCAAAGTGGATTTGCCTGCGTGTGCCATGGGCTGATTCAGTCACCATGGGGCAGCGGGGCAGCAGGATGAGCCAGCTCTGGGGCAAATGTCTGAGCTCCTGGGTCAGCCTGCTGACTGCTGAGGTGGCTTCTGTGCTTTGGAATGGAGATCCCTGAGGCAGGAGCTGCCTGGGATGGTGCCCAGGGCATGTAACTGGTGATGGAGGGAGAGGTGGCTCTGTCTGGCACGAGCAGGGCAGGGTGCAGGAGCATTTGGTGTCTGTGGCTGAGAGCAGCTGTTGGATGCAGCGAGTTGTTCTGGGGAGGGACGTGGTGCCACAGGCAGTTTTATGCCTGTTCTGCTGCTACTCTGGTTAATCAAGAGGATAAAACCCACGTACAGGGGAATGGAGTTTATAAAATCAGGCAGAGTGGTGAATAATTTAATGTTTGCTTTTTCGAATAGAGGCAATGATAGGAGAGCTTAAAATATTGATGGGAAGCTCATTTTTTTTCACAGTGTGAAATGCTTTATAGCCTGTGTGATTTTCTTTAATGTTTTTTAAACATGTTTGAGGCTGGCACCTGCTTTACTGTCATGTACCATGGGCTCCACTTTAAAGCATATCTGTGAGTGAGTAGGATTTTTCCTGATGACTTTGTTAACAGTCAGGACCACACATTCAGGTCTCTCCAGTCCATTTCCTGGATTCAGAGACACAGGAGGGCAGCTGTGTGATATTTTATTTATGGGGATCATACAACACAGTAAGGAGCACTTAGCCTATCTTACAGGAGCAGGACCCGAGGCAAGTTTTGGGGGATAATGTTTATGTCTCACACCATGGGATGGGTCACAGCACAGGGAGCTGTGTGTGGGCAGTGGGAGCTGCACAGGAGCCCCTTTGGCTCCTCTCACTCTCATAAGAAGCCAAAGGGACTTGGAATCAAGGAGCAAATCACCATGAATAAAACATCAAGAGGGCTTTTTATTTCAGCAAAGATTAATGAGCTAAGTAATAAATACAAAATTTCACAGATACTTAAGTTTAATTTATAGGAACTTGTTCCTCTCCACAGGAGTCTTGGTGGGACAGAGATGGGTCCAGTGAATGTCCTGATTTGATGGGAAGTAGGACAAGCTGGAAACAGTCAATGTCCCTGTGCAGCTTTTGCTGTGCCTGAGGGCTGTGAGCTGCTGCCTGCATAGGCTGGAGACTTGTTTGGAGCCAAACCTGGTTAAAATGGGAATACTGGCAAGTGCACCTTGCAGTGGCTGAACTAAATGGATGCAAACATGCATGAGGGAGTTTGTGCTGACCAGAAATACACATCCAGGTCCTGAGGCACAGCCTGCTCTCCGAGCAGGACTCATACTCCCAGCAGTCCAGTTGCATGGGGTAGATCTGTGTGAGGTGGTTCAGGAGGCCTCGCTATGTCCCACCAGCCCTCCTGATCAAAGATTGTGTTTTGCCTTTCCCAGACATCCTCAGCAGGGGTTCAGAGCTGAGGACAGGAGCCCATCCTCAGACCCCTCACAGCACTAAGGGTGGAAGGTGCCATTGGGATTTTTGCCAGTTTTCCATTGGAGTGTTCCAGCTGTTGTGTTTTACCACTCTCTTCTCCCATTGTGTGGTCACCAGCTTGGAGCTGTTCCTGATCCAGAGAGAGGGCCCTGGTGTCTGCAGAAGCCACACACTCTGCAGCTGTTTAAGGTACAGGTTTTATGAAGCAGCAGCTCAGTCACTGCCCATTTCCTCTCTCATTTTCAGTGCCAACTCCTGTCACCGACATCCGCACGGACAAAGTGGAGCAGAAGAGCGTCTCCCTGTCGTGGCAGGAGCCTTCAGGAGGCTTCCTGGCTGCCAATGGCACCGAGTACGAGGTCAGGTACTTTGAGAAGGTAGGCTCTGGGCATGGGCTCTGCTTGTGCCCCTTCCCTTGCTGCCCTCGGTGCACGGTGCCAGGTGCTGTGTGTGCCCGACCCCTGTCACCCACCCCCCGTGTGACTGCAGCTGGGCAGCGACTGAGACACCACAGAGGGTTCCTTTGGTCTCTGCATTCCCAGCCTGCTCTCCAGGGGACTGTTGGACCTTGTGGTCTGCACTGGGAGCCACAAACCTGTGGCTGTGGTGAGCTATGAGTGGCCCTTCTACACAGGAGGGGACCTAGAAAATATTTTTGTGGCAGTTTCTTGATTTTAAAAATTGCTGCTGTTTAACAGGTGCAGTAAGTTGGGAATTTTAGGAGAAATACCAGTGGGCAGAGGAGGGACAAAACTCTAAATCAAAATAAATGCAGTTTATGACAGAGTTCTGCAAATTACCTTATCTGTGTGTGCTCAGGCTCGCTGTGGAGCTGACGGCATGTCAGGCACACTGTGCAGGTGACATGTAAGCATTCTGTATTTAGAAACAAGCTACCGTGAAGCTGATTCATATTAATGTGATTTTCAGCATCTGATAGATTTGAGAGGAGGGATCTGTGGGGGAGGGCAAATGCTGGAGCCCGAGACATTAATTCCTGTGCAAATGGGCTGCAGCAACATGATACTTGGGGTATGAAATGAGGAACCTTCCTCCTTGGCTAGAGAATTTAAATTCAGTTTAGCAGTTCTTCACTGAAATGAGGCTCTTGATGCTGACATGAATATCAACTTAGTTCCTAATCTTTGCTTTTAAAGCTTTTGTTTTTACTGTGAAGATTCAAAGGGGAAAACGTATGGAACAGAAACAAACACATTTGGTGGTGATGTGAGCAGTGCAGTGAGTGGCTGCTGCTCATGCTGTGCTGGACTGTGGGACTGGGACACTGTGACAGAATGTGGGGCTGGGACACTGCCCATGACAGAATGTGGGGCTGGGACACTGTGACAGAATGTGGGGCTGGGACACTGTTTGTGACAGAATGTGGGGCTGGGACACTGTGACAGACAGATTGTGGGGCTGGGACAGTGTGCCAGGCTGTGTGGCTGGGATGTCCCCACCTGCCCTTTTCCAATCCACACAGATTTGCTCAGTGCTCCAGTGGGTGCAGCAGGGGAGCAGCAAAGGGCTGCTGGTGCCACAGCTCAGCCTGGCACGGGGGGGAAGTTGCCATGTGGGGTGGCATAGCTGCTCCTCACCCCCCCATCTCCTGCCTTCATGTCTTCATAGCATCATCCAGCTTCATCTGCTATTTCCTGTCGCCTTCCCATGTAATTTGTGTTCATGAGCCATCCAGTGAGTGCGTTGTTTCTTTTGGAGCTGGCTCTTTGGACAGGCTGTCCTGACAGCACCCAGAGCTGAGGACAGGACTGTGCCATGCTGGTTCTGTGGTGCAGCTGTCAGTCCAGCTCCACCTCAGGTATCTCGTTATTTCACAGGATCAGAGAGATCAGAGTTACTCAACTGTGAAAACCACATCGACAGCCGTGACGGTCAATAACCTGAAGCCTGGCACCCTCTATATTTTCCAAATCAGAACATCTTCCTCTCCAGACTATGGGAATTACAACCCTGGCATTGAAGTGGAGACACTGGCAGAGTGTAAGTGCAGCAGGCAGGTCTCGTGTCCCTGTCAGGGCTCTGAGCTGAGCCCTGGGGATGCTGTGCTCAGCTGTGCCCCAGCTGCTCCTGGTTTCATGGAGCAGCACCTCTTCCTCTGGCTCTGCTTCTCCAGGTCTAAGGGAGAGCCCCACTCTGTCCCACTACTGTCCAGGAGTTTGCTTTTCCTTGCATTTTCCCATTAGATGTGGATGAGGTTGGCCCTGCTGCCCTGCCTGTCCTGGGGGAGCCTGTCCTGTCTCTCCTCAGTGAGGAGTCAATCAGGGCAGTTGCTCTCTGGCTCCTTCCTCACGAGGAGGCTGAGACAGTCTCTGCTCTTTGGCTGAGATCGCCCAAAAACATGCTTAGCTCATGACTGTTCCCTGCCTCCCACTGCTGTCCTGGCTCAGGAGGCACTTGGCTTGTCTACTCCTTGGCTGGCCCAGGGCAGCCAGCATCAGTGTTATCTGCTGAGCCTTCTCCTTTTAAACTCCCATTCATAACTGTGGTCCAAAAGCCTCTTCTTTCACTAAAAGAGGGCTGGAGGGATGTTGGGCTTCCCCCAGGCTGGCTAGAAGTGCAAGGCTGAGCTGACTGGCTCAGAACAGCTCCCACAGATTGTGTTAAACAGGGCTTTAAATTGCCTTCATTTGCCACACAGAAGACGTTTCAGAATTAATTGAAGCCAATAAAAATTTTATAGAGAATGTAGCTATATAATATCCCTGTTTGCAAAAGCTGGAGGAAAAGGGATTAATGTGATGAAAGAAAACTATTTGTAAGGCCATAAATTTTGATGTGTTCCTCTGATAAACAGGATTCTTCCTCAGCTCTGATTAACAGAACCAGGAGCTGGTGCAGCAGTGCTGGGTTGCTCCGTGTGTGCTGCCTGCAGCACTGCCCAGCATGTTGGACTTATCCCACCTACCTGGGCTCTTAAAGCATGAATGAATTAATGAACAGCATGAATTTGTGAGGATGAACCACAACCTCCATGTTGTGAGGATGGTGAAAAGCAGCCATAGCTCTTCTGGAGGACACAGGCTGGCTGTGGGAGCAGTGACCAAGGCAGCTCCTCTCCTCAAATCTACCCCAGAGCACGTTGATAACCAGCTCTGCTTCCCTCCTGCAGTGACAGTGGCCTCCAGTGAGCAGAGCTCCATCCTCATCATCACAGTGGTGGCCATCCTGGGGCTGACAGTGCTGGTGTCTGTGGTGGTTGGAGTGATGGTCTGGAGGAGGTGAGCAGGGCCAGGCATGGTGCAGGGGGTTTGACCTGGGGCAAGGAGCTCCTGCCCAGCTGCTGGTGTGCATCTTCATTCTCTTTGCAGGCAGTGTGGGTACAGCAAAGCCAGCCAGGATGGGGATGAGGAGCTTTACTTCCACTGTAAGTGGCACCCAGCTGTCATGGCCAGTGGCTGTGGGGATCCCTGGATTTATCATTGTTGTAAATAACCCACCAAAGCAGCCCTGAGCCCTTATGTTTGAAGAGTTGTCATCCTGTGTTATCCCAGAGCAGGGGCTGGCACAGCAAGGCTCTCTGAGGACTGTGGGTTTGACAGCTCCATGTCTGTCCTTCCTGCACGTGGGTCACTGCATGCCAGAGGAAATGGGGATACTTGCAGCTTACATGGGGTGTATAAATCATTCTGTCAGCTCCTCATGAACACCAGCAAACAGCCTTGTTTTCTGGAGCTACTCTGGACTATTGAGCAGCAATAATTTTACAGACAACAGTTGTCAGAGGGAATTCAGGTGTCAGGACTGATGAGTTTATTTCATTCCTGGCACATGCCCATGGAGTGCACAGAGGCTTTTCTGTTCCCCAAAGCACCTCGGCAGCAGAAGAGCCTGCCTTGACCATTTCACTTGGCTTTGAAGGGTGGGAGCTTCACTGGAGCAAAGGGGCTGCTCTCCTTTACCCAGGGGTTGTGGCAGTGGAACAGAGCAGTTGGATTCACTTAATCCTAAAAAAAAAAAATTCTTAGAAATCTTATAACTGAGACTTTTGCTTTGCTTATAGAAAGGTGGCACATTGGTTCTGCCCACAGGCCAGCAGATGGATAAGCTGGGATAGTGTTTCCCAGGATGGGTGGGTGGAAGTTCTGTCGAGCCCCTCTCACCTGCCCTTTCTGCCTTTCCTGCAGTTAAAATACCCACCAGGAGGACATACATTGACCCCAGCACCTGTGAAGACCCCATGCAGGCTGTGCACCTCTTTGCCAAGGAACTGGATAATGCCAGCATCAAAATTGAGAGGATCATCAGGACAGGCAAGTTTATGGGGTGGTGTGCTCCCTTTTCCCTGGGCCGTGGCAGTGCCATGACATTGGGGATCTTGGGGATACCTGCCTGCACCTTGGGGGTACAGCAGAGGATGGGAGCAGGGCTCGTGAGGATTTTATCCAGCAGCTTTGTTCCCCATTCCTGGTGTTTTCCTGAGGCACTGAGCACAGCCAAGAAAACGCCACGTGGACCAGAAAGCATCAGCAATTATCTGCATCTGGGCAGTTTGACAGCAGCATGAAAACTATTTATAAATACGTGAACCTAATGATTTATCGATTTTCATCAACCTCACTGCCTAAAACTTAAAGGCAAATTAAAATCCCCTGACTGGATCCTAGACCATTACTGGCTACTGTGTGCCAGAACGTGGGAAACGTGATCACTCTTTGTCATTTCTTTTCCTAAAGATAAATTCAGCTGTAGCAGCAGCAGAGGTGGAGGAAGGGAGGAGGGAAGGGCTTTGCCTGAAGCTGAAGGACAGTGTTGAAGGGGAGAAAACATTGAGGAGGGGACAAGGTTACCTCTGAACTGCAGTGTGGAGCAGCTCAGAGGAGCCCCATGTACCTTTCATGAGCAAACTGGTGTTTGAGAAATCAAGAAAGAAATTAGTAAGGAAGACATTTAAATCTAAGGAATTTGGGAGAGTGTCTATCTCACTGCTCACCTAACAAGAACCTGATTTTCAAATCAATAAAGCTGTTCATATCTACATGCTTTTTGCTGTAAAGTCAATATTGGGTTTTTTTTATGTTGAGAATTCTGTTGTGGAGTGCATGGCTGTGCAGTGGGATATTCTTCCTCGAGGATTGCAGGAACCCTCCAGCTCTGTGGGAAGCAGATCAGGAGGCAGAACCAGCCATGCCCAGAGCATTGTGACAGGGGGTTAACCCTCCTGTCACGGGATAAAACACAATAGGCAGTGAAGCAGAGCACGGAGAGAAGAGCTGAGAGGCTCTGGAGATGCCTGAGGGTCAGTGGCCGTGCAGAGGAGCGGCTGCGAGTGGCATCAGCCCTGCCACGGATCTTTAACCCATTTCTGTGCTGCGCAGGAGAGTTTGGGGAGATGTGCCGGGGCTGCCTGAAGCTGCCCAGCAAGCGGGAGCTGCCCGTGGCCATCCAGACGCTGCGGGCAGGCTGCTCGGAGAAGCAGCAGCGCTCCTTCCTGGCCGAAGCCTGCACCATGGGCCAGTTTGACCACTCCAATGTCATCCGCCTGGAGGGGGTCATCACCAGAGGTACGTGGGTGCCACGGGGTTCCCGTGCAAGAATGGGCTCAAACTGCTGCTTCAGGGAGGTAAAGGTGGTGCTAGAGGGGCTGTTGGCTCCCTGGAGAGCAGCTGGTCCCACCTGCATCAGCTGGGTTTGGGTTCTAGTCATTGGTAAAAAGCTTCCAGCTAGATTAATAAATGCAGGTAGTGGGGCTGGTTTAGCAGCCGAGCACATGTGCTCTTAATAAAAGCGAATTGAAGTGAGATTCTGTCAGTAAAACAGATGAGACTGACTGCTCCAGCTCTCTCCCATGAGCGTGTGTGTGGAACCAGGCTATGGATACTACAGTTAAATGGATATTCTTGTAAATCCAGAGAAACCAGAGCATGTGAGATGATTCTAACTAGGCTTTTTATTAGGAAAGGAAATTTTGTGGCTGAGCTGGTAGCTTTTGCTCTCACTGGGATATGCTGTCCTTTGTGATGTGATTCAGAGCACATCACAAATTCCTGATGAAAGGAACTTCCGATTCTGGAATCCATTCCTGGCTGGGAATGCCTTGGACCTAGTGCTCATTACAATCTGGCTGAGATAACGTCCTTATTTCCCTCAAAAGCCAGGCAGTGCAGGGCTTGGCACCTGGATTTTTAACCCCTGCAGAGTCTGAACTGCCTGAGTGATGGTGGCACTCACACCGTGCTGCTTGTCTGTCTGTGCAGGGAGCACCATGATGATAGTGATGGAGTACATGGGGAACGGCCTGCTGGACTCCTTTCTCAGGGTGAGTACTGGCGTGTCTGCCCAGCCTGGACTCTCCTGGCCACGTTCCCATGGCTGACCTTTGGCTTTTCCTCCTCTGCTTTCACAGAAACACGAGGGGCAGTTCACAGGCACCCAGCTCATCTGCATGCTGCAGGGCATCGCCTCTGGCATGGTGTACTTGGCAGAGATGGGCTATGTACACAAAAGCCTTGCTGCCCACAAGGTCCTCGTGAGCAGCAGCCTGGCATGCAAGATCACAGGGTTCAGACGGCCACAGGAGGAGAAGATGGAAACCATCTTCTCCACCATGGTGAGCTGCATTTCCACATTCTGTTGTCAACACTTTTCCTAGGCTCCCATTTCCCTCTTCAAGTATGAACAGGGACTCTGCACCTTGAATTTCTTTCTCAGGTAGAAATGCAATGTGTTTGGCCAGGGAACTGCACAGCAGTGGCCTGGCACCATGCCTGCTCTGGCTACAACCCCACTGCACAAATCAGGGCAGAGGGACTTGTGTTTTTGCAGCTGTGAGGTGTTTTTTGTTAAATATTAATGTGCAAAATGCCATCAGCTCTTCCTGGGGACATTCTCCTCTCCCATTAATATTTCAGGACTTACACTCCTGTGTAGCATACAGTTGCAGTGACATTTACAAGTCGAAGGAAAAGTTTCCTCTTAGTCCTAAATGTGCTCATGGCACACGTGCTTGCTCGGTGTCCAGCCTGTGATGCCAGGCAGGGCACAAAGAACAGGAATTGCCAGCATTGGCCACATCCTGGGCAAATAAATCATTCCTGCCCTTCTGCCTGTGCAGCGTGGGAAGAGCCTGGTGCTGTGGTCAGCCCCTGAGGCTGTCCAGTATCACCACTTCAGTCCTGCCAGCGACGTGTGGAGCTTCGGGATCGTCATGTGGGAAGTGATGTCCTACGGAGAGAGACCCTACTGGGACATGTCCCACCAGGATGTGAGTGCCCTGCAGCTGCATGGAGGGTGAAGCTGCAGCCCTTGCTGATGGAGGGCGGTGGCTGCTGCTGCTCCTGGGCTGGGTGTGAGGAGGGAGGTTTGTCCCAGGGCTTTGCCTTTGCTTTGAATCACAGCGGCTGACCCCAGCCCCTCGTGTGCTGCAGGTGATGAAGGCTGTGGAGGATGGGTTCCGCCTGCCTGCCCCAGCCAACTGCCAGCCCCCCCTCCACCAGCTGATGCTCAACTGCTGGCAGAAGGACCGCAGCCAGCGGCCCAAGTTCTCACAGATCCACAATGCCTTGAGCAAGCTGGTGCAGAGCCTGGAGCCCCCCAAGTGCCCCAGCTCCACGTGTCCCAACTCTACCTGCCCCAGGTGACCACCCTGTTGCCACACCTGCCCGTTTCCCCTTTACTGTGCTGTGCCCCACTCCCTTTTCACCACCCTCTCTGTTGGCAGGTCCCATGGCACGTCCATCCCCCTCTCCAAGAGAACCTTCTCAGCCTTCCCATCTTTCAGCTCTGTGGGTGAGTGGCTGGAAGCTATAGAAATGGGCAGATACAAGGACAACTTCACTGCTGCGGGCTACTGCTACCTGGAGTCAGTGGCCAGGATGACAGCCCAGTAAGTGACCCATTCTCCTGGCTATAACCTTGTGTCGTGGGTGCTGTGAGAGCAGCGTTTCCTGCCCCTGCCAGAGAGCAGAGCCAAATGCAATGGGATTTACTGATAATCTGTTGTGCTGCAGCGGGGTCAGAGCTGTCCCATGGGGTCAGAGCTGTCCTACAGGGTCAGAGCTGTCCCATGGGGTCAGAGCTGTCCCATGCCTGGAGTGCTGCAGTCTCCTCTTAGCCTGGAATGCCTGGTCAGCATCAGGATTGCTTTGGCTGGGACAAAAGGTTGGGGATTTCTTACTTGTGCATGTCTAGCCTGGAAGCAGTCAGTGTCGGGGCACAGGGTGGTCAGGGCTGGTTTGTCCTGGCTGATGTGGGGCTCATTTTGCAGAGACATCCTCAGCCTGGGGATCACACTGGCAGAACACCAGAAGATCATCCTGAGTGGGATCCAGAGCCTGCGGGCCCAGGTAATCCAGATGCACGGGCGAGGCGTGCAGGTGTGAGGAGCTGTCCTGCAGAGCTGCAGAGCACCAGCCCGGAGCTCCCACGGAGGAGTGGCCTGCTGGCCCCAACCAGCCCCACCTCTGAAACCTGGAGGTCTCAGGTGGGCTGTGGAAATCTCTGGACGCTGCCAAACAAGAGAGCAGGGCTCCTGTTCCCTGCGCTGGGGCAGCCCAGGATTCCTGGGATGGTGCGGCGTGCCTGGGTGGACGTGGCTCTCCCCAGCACTGTTTTGTAAGATGAGTCAAACTGTATTGATGCCATTTCATGTGGTAGTTGAGTTCACAGGGTGGGATGGACCTTTTTGCACTGTCTTAATCCAGAGCCAACACTTCTGTATCTAGTATCCTGCTGGTGAATCCATGGGTACTTTTATACAACCTGACAGATCACAGCAACCCCACAAGGAGTTTTTATTGCTTTTATATTTAGAGAGCAGCTCTCACTCAATGCCCAACTCCTGGAAGGTGACTTTCCCCATCTGTGCTGAAGGAAACTCTTTCCCAGTTGCATCCCCTGGGGCAAGCCTCCCTCCTCACACCCTCACTACTTCACCGAGTGCTGACACCTCAGTTGGGGAACAAAACTAAATATTCTCCAGTAAAGCACAGAGGAAATGGTGCTGGCTGCATCCATGCAATCCAGGGCACACCCACACTTTCTGTTTTGTGAGCATGGTGCTGCCTGCCTGGCATGCTGGCAGCTCCCATAGCTGCAGCCTGATCCCTGAGAAGACATAAATAGCATCTTAATAATACAACTTCCCTTGAAGTTTGTTAATTAAATGGGTATTTGCAGCTCTGTGTGGAGTTTTCTAAGGCTTTATTATGATCTGTAAGTATCACAAGTGAATTATTAATGCTGAAAGGCAAGGATTTACATAGGGGATGAAGGCTATGTGGGAGATGCTCAGAGTCTGGCTGGAAATCTGCTAAAATCAGACCCTGCTGTTAGGCTGCTCCGAGAGGATGAGGATCTGAATGAGGATTGAGTGAAGGCCCCTTGGGGCTGGCACGGTGACCACTCTGCCCAGGCTCTGGGGAGTTTGTTGCTCTCTGGAGAAGACAAGATCTCTCCTTCCTTCCCCCTCTGCAATTCAAACCGTGTTCCCTCCCCAGTGTCTCTTGGTTAGTGTTTTTAACAGAAATACTTTCTCTAAGTTTGGCCCATGTCCAGTCGGGTTGGTCACTTCCCATCCTGCTGTTTGCCACCCTGAAGAGGAGCAGCAGTGAACCGAGCCCTGCATTTAGTGAAATGCCCGATCCCAAGGGTCAAGTGCAATTTGTGTGCTCTCTGTGTTTACATTTTATCTCTAGAGAAAGTATATTACAGGTCTCTAGGCAGGGGGGCTGAACCAGCTCGATTGTGGATCTTCTCTCCCCTCTCCCTGCTCGTTCTCTCTGTTGGGATCCAGGCTGGGAAGTTGCTCCTGGAGGAGCTGGCTCCAGGCTGGGACACCTCAGGGAGGTCTGGAGACATCCAGGGCTTGGTGATGAGGTGACAGCGTGCCTCAGGGCCTCAGGAGAACAGACCTGGCCATGAGCAGGCAGCACCATGTTCCCTCGAGTCTCCCAGAACAGACCCTGCCTCCAGGATGAGGAATGTGAGAAGGGGCCGGCTCTGGGTGCCACTCGTGGCCACTGGAATCTGCTTCTCTGTCCCTCTGGATGGACAAACCTCAGCACAGTCACCCATGGTCGTGGCTGCTTCCCTGGGCTGCAGTGGCCACTGGCTGCTGTGGGAAGTAGCCATGGCTATGTGGAGGGGTCCCACAGGGGCTGAGCTCTGGGATGGGCTCTAACTCAGCAGAAACAGGAGGCAGCAGCTTTCCTGGTCTCTCCTTCAAGAAAGGAAAGGAAAGCCTCCATCGAAGCAGCCCTCTAGCCCAGCTTTTTGCAAGAATTTACACTCTTCACTGAGCTCCTCACCAAAACAAGCTAACAAAATTCGTAATTAAGCTACAGATCGTTGTTATGATATTAAAATTAATTCCTCTCAGCTTCTCTCCTTGAGGGAGTAATATAATTAAATTAATCTGTTTTGGAGCTGCAAGGGAAATGCCTCAAAATGACTGTGGTCTGTCCCCATCCAGCCCCTGGCATGCCATGAGGCTCCTGCCTCCTCTGAGTGCTGGGACAGCCCCAGTCCTGCTGGAGCAGCATCCACAACACTCCCCTCACAAGACACCAAATGGGAATCAAGTTGGTTCATCTCCAGATGCTTTTATATTCATTAGCCACATATTAAGTACTGTAAATACACACTTGAGAAGTCAATATATATTTTTATAAGCTTGAGACAAATGTAATATAATATTATAAGGGACTCTGTGTGCATCTCATGTTTGAACTATAGTCAGACATCTCCAGGGAATCTCAGTTGGTTTGGAATATGTAAGAATAATGATAATAATAACAGTTATTATAAATGCTAATAAAAATCTATTGACTTTTTTTTTTTTTTAATTTTGTATTTATTGAACCACGGTTGAATCTGGCAATAAAGAGATATCTAAATATCTGAGTGAAACCAACCAATAATCCTGCCCTGGTTTGTCTGTGTGGGTAATTTCAACGTTCTAGGGGAAAATGCCACTTTGTCAAGGGTGGCATGTGGTGAGTAAGGGACAGTTTTAGTATCATCAAGGTGTGAAGTGATGCCTTGTTTTGTTAAATAATATCTATGATAAGGTGGGAGCCTGTGCTCTGCTGTAGAGTGGCTGGAGGAGGTGGTTTCTTGCTACTGACACTTTGCAGAGAGGACAAAAGCACCTGCTTTGCTTTGCTGGTGTGTGCTGTGTGGTCAGAAAGGTGCATGGCCTCACCTGTGGGCCCAGGTGCTGTTCAGGCAGGTGGGAACCCCTCCCATCACCCCTGGGACCAGAGAACCTTGGACATCTCTCAGCGTGGAGCTGCACACACTGTCAGGCTGACAGGTGCTGCTGTGTGAGTGTGGGGATGCTGCTGAGCAGAGGGAAAGTGCTGCACAGTTCCTGCACTCCAGGCATGTAATTAATTGTTTTTATTGAGTAAATGAAAGCTGTGTATGGCCAGCACATAAAATGCAAACTCAGCACACGCAAATGGTATTTAAAAACCATTTGAGGAGACTCTCACTGGTTCACATCTCTGCTCTTTTTCCTGGGCTGCTCAACGCCCAGGAACAGGCATGGGAGCCCTGGCTGGTGTGGTGACAGCAGGGACAGCTGCTGGGAAGGGTGCTTAGAATGGTGAAGTCTATTTGCCTTCTGTTGATCAATTAATTCAGGCAGCCTTTGTTCCAGCCTGGCCGGGGCTGTACTGGCACTATAAAGAAATAATCAGAGCTCTGGAGGAGAGTGATGAACAGTGGATTCCCACTCACAGCCAACCAGAGGCAGATTTTGCCCAGCTATTGGCATTTGTGCCTCCTTGTGAGATGTGGAGATGGGTTTGTCTCTCTTCTGTGACCTTCCCGGCACTGTCTGTGCTGGAAGCTGTGGGACACGTCCTCTCCTGGCTTTTTGGGGGGCTGGCACCCCCTGTGCCAGCCCTGCAGCCCACTCAGCCCCCGCTGCACCAGAGGAAGGGGCTCTGGTGAAAGGGGGGCCACTATGGCTCAGACAGAGAACCCCAAAGTGCAGCAGTGCTGTCAAGGATGGGCTCAGCACTTGGCAGGTGCTGATCAAACGGGGGATTTTTAAAATAAAATGCTCATTGCATGGTGCTGGTGAAAAAGCAGCTGCCAAAGCATCCATCTGGCACCACCAGCAGGTCTGTGTTTTGGGGAGAGCAGGGGAGGAGCCAGGGCTCCTCATCTTGCCCCTCACTCCCACACAGCAGCCTCAGACATGAAATTCATCACCTTCCTCCTTCCTCTAGTGCAGAGAGGCTGTGTCTGTGTCTGTGGTGAGCCTGGACCAGCCACTCTGCCATGGGAGCAGAGTGTGGGGTCACAGGAGCCCGGCCTTGCTGCCACCTGTCCTGCCCTGCCCACACAGGAAGGATATGGGGGATAGGAGGGCACTGCCCTGGGAATATTAAAAAGAACCTGGGTCTGCAGGAAAAGCAAGGTTTGAAAATGCATAATTGCTAATTATCAGGAAGAGCAAGTGCCATTTGTCATGGTAATCAGCAATCTGTCAGTTCGAGTGTCACCAGGATGGGTGCCTCTTTCCTCCTTCTATTCATCTCCCAGGGTCTCAGTGTGCCTGAAGAGCACTGCCCAGGCCAGACCCCCTCAGCTCCTCCTGCCCCACCAAGGATGGGCTCCCAGTGCCACACTGGGCTGTCCCCAGTGCCAGACTGGGCTGTCCCCAGGGCCCTGCACCACCAATCTCGGCTGGGACAAGGTGGGTGCACCCATGCTGCTGGGCAAGGGGTGCCCATGGTGAGAGATGCTGGGGATTGTGGCCCAGTTGAGGCAGCCTTGGCACAGGGCTGGGTGACCTTGGCACAGAGCTGGGTGACATTGGTGCAGTGCTGGGTGACACTGGCACAGAGCTGGGTGACCTTGGCACAGGGCTGGGTGACATTGGCACAGAGCTGGGTGACATTGGTGCAGTGCTGGGTGACACTGGCACAGGGCTGGGTGACATTGGCACAGGGCTGGGTGACATTGGTGCAGTGCTGGGTGACACTGGCACAGATCTGGGCGACCTTGGTGCAATGCTGGTGACACTGGCACAGGGTGGGTGACACTGGCACAGGGCTGGGTGCCAGCCAGCAGCACCCACCAACCCTGCCATGCCTGACCTCAGCTGCCTCTGCACTTGTGGCTCCCCACTTAGAGCAGGGCCATCTGCACAGCAACAAGAGCTGCCTGGAAGGCACAGGAGCCATTTAATTACACAATTATAAATAACTTCAGCCTTTTTATCTTCCTGAGGCTGACAAACACCTTCAGCATCAGACAAAGAACAGCTGTTATCGCTCGGTGCAGTGGCTGCTCCTGGGCAGCTGCCACCCCTGAAGGAGCACAGACAAAAGCAGAGGAGCTGCACTCTGCCAGCAGGTCCAGATCT